ACTCTTCTGAGGGTGGAGATGGAATAGAGTCAATCTGTTCTATGGACTGGGAGTTCTGATCCAACATGTACCCTCTAATCTCTCCCAAATTTCTCTTTCTATAGTCATGATGATATGGCTACAGGACACAACCACAAATTTGAATCAACATCTGCTTGTTTAATTATGTTCATCTAGCTACTAACAAACATTATAAATGTTGTCATAGCCACTACTACAATGCCAGTGTTTAATGAACCTTTAACCTTAGCACTGTTTTTGACTTTCTCATTTTTCTAATGTCTATGGAAGTCTCTTTTTCTAATGTCTATGGAAGTCTCTTTTCCCTAAATATCCCTAAATATTAATACATGAAAAATCAATGACCAAGAAGCAATCATTTTTGACCGAAATGATCTTATTGGCCAACTTATATTCCACCAAACTGCTTTTGCTTGAACAGCCGTATCACCTGGAGCTGATGCAGAAGGCATTATGACTCTATACAGGGCATCACAATGTCCACAGTCTTCTGCCTGGCTACTGGCTCTAGTGTCCAACTTGAGTGTTTTATTTCACACAATGGAGTTGCTGGTCTAAGATTTGCAAGTTACTACAACCTCAATGCCTGCACATAGAGAAAAGATTCCATAGTGATGATGATGTCTACAAAGTCTAATTCTAATTGCTTTACTATTTAGTCACTTCATTTTCCTAAACAGACTATGTTTTCAGTAACAAGATATCATGACTTAGGTTTTCTCTTTGTTAAAAAAAAATGGCTGACATAGATGGACCTACCTTCTACACAAATGTTAATATTCGTTTACTTGCTTGAATTTATTATAGCATTTGTTGTGACCTTATCTCCTATAGTTACATGTTTTTCATACCTGTCTACTAAAATAAGGTGTAATACAACATAGGTGCTGGCACAGACAACCTAGTTTCATAAAAATTAATTATTTAAAATCATTAAGTTCACATTTGGAGGCACCTCCCATCTTCCCATATCTTGCTTGTTTTGTTCCTTGTCTTTGCAGCTGATGATCAGAGATATTAAATGATCTGTCAAATGGTATGTTTTTAAAAACTAGCTGGTGGCCCCACTAAGCCAAATAAAAACTTATAAAATGAAGAACTGTAGATTAAACATGATTACATACTCTGTTAAGACAGGTGTATATATTTTCCCAACATCTACAGAGTAGATGTAGTATTACTTTTTGTTATGAGGGGGAAAATAATCTTTCTTCCCCAGAGTTAAAAGTACTTTAGCAGAAATGAATTTATTTAATTTCACTGAGTCTCTAGGAGAAAATTTAGAGAACATATTATTAACTCTCTGTTATAAAGACAGATATTTTCCAGAGAGTTGACATGAAAAGGCTCTATAGTGTTCACCAAAATTGGTAGTTAAAAGGTTAATTTCCTCATGGGGAAGTCACATCTGACCATGGGACAGCTTGATGGGTTTAAAAGACAGTTTGATATAAAATCACTTTTAGATCAAAAACATTACTTTAATGTGTTCCAAAGTTGTTATCTACTAAAACTATTCTGAAAAACAGATATTAAGAATTAGGGGGTCAAGAAAATTGAAAAATCTCGACAATTTCATATGCAAATTGATTTGATTTTTGAACTACCCAATAACATGGGGCATTGTGGGGTAAGTGATGGGATGAGGCTTTTCTCATCTTTATGTAATCTAGAAGAGTAACTACTTTCCCCAGGATAAATTTAAAATTACTATAGCGAAAAAAGAAATAATAAAAAAAAAGAGAACCACCACTGATTTCCACATAGTCTCCAGGGGGAAGTTCAAATAAGCAGCTAACCTCTCTGCAGAGAAGTGTTTAACTGTTGTATGGTTAATCCATTTGGAACACCTTGTTGTTCTAAATGGAGAAACAAAAGAGATTTGCTGTAAAGTCTTCTTCAAATCCCAAGAAGACAAAAGTAGATTAGGTAACCAGAGCGACTACTTGGGAATGTCCATATTGTGGTGTTTCTGACTCATGTCGTTAGTCAGGGGTACAGCTGATTTTGAATGATGTGGTTCATGCTTCAACAATGTTTTGCTCTAGACAGATGGACCATATGGAAACTATGAACTGGCTTCATCTACAGGACCTTGATGAGCCAATGCAACATTTTTATGTTTTCTGTTTCTATTCAAGTGGTCTAGTGAACAACATATTATGGTAAGACATGGTATATTATGTGCCTTTGTTTCAATTCTGAATAGTAATCATTTTTAATGCTACAGATATTTTCAATATGAGGATTTTTTTTTTTGCACACATACTCACTTTACAAAAAAGACCTGACATTTTTTGGAGGTTAAATATATTCCAATTCTTCCTCAAAGTTCTGGCTTACTTTAATTCATCAATTAAAACAAGGTCCAACAGGGGAAAAAGCTATCAAAATCATGGTTGTCAAAAATTTTCTTCCCAACAAGATTCAATATGTAAGCTTTATAACTTTTCTGAAAGATTTTAATTATTAAAAAGAATCAACAAAATAAAATATGGTACCAATTTACTGAGAACTAGAAGACAAGTTTATCCCACTAGATAATTATTTTGGGGGATATAGTGTGTTCTATTATAGTTTGCTATTTTAATAACTATTAGAGTCACAAACATTTCACTTTAAGACTGAAATAATATATAGCATTTTTTTCTCGATGGCCTTACAATTTAATGAAAAATTGTGTCGCTGAAAAAAAAATACAGTTGTTGGCACAATACCAAAATGGAACAAATGAACGGCACTTATGTGGTTGCATGTTTTTGTATAGGATGTGGGAGGGCTACAGAATAGCTGAAATTAATATGTGGAAAATAGCTGCTCTGGTTCCTTAGAGGAATTCAGAAACTATCATATGTACTTACTCAGCTTGTAAATCTCTGCAAAGGCTATGATGAAAAATGATCATGTTTCATTATTATAATTAAAATATAGTGGTCTCAGATGTTTTTCTAGAGAATTAAAAAATATGAGCACAGATAATATGGGTACAATTGTTATAGAGAAGATTTAAGGAACTATAATTTCAATGTTTTTCAAGGAGATTTATTAAAACATGATTACACTGTATGCCTAAGATTAGGGCAGAATAACAAGATTTCCCCTATAAAATAAATGGACTTCATACTTTATGGATTATAATTCTTAGCTTCTGGTGTTTTCTATTTTTGATCAGAGAAAATCTTAGATAGAAACCTAATAATTTCTCCCTCTACATGCACTTTGATAACTAAGGGGCGTCAAGTTTGTGCTGTATTCATAGCAAGTTGGTAGAACCAGACTGAAACTGGCCAATTTTAGTTTATTTAAAATTGGATTTAAATTTGAATATGCTGATAATCAAAAAGTGAATCTCTCTGAATTTTAAAACTATAAACATTGAGAGCCATGAAATAATTCACAACTGAGAGAAAATATTTTGTACATACTCTTTGATTTTATAAAAGTTTGGAAAGAATTTTACCTATTTAGTATATATGTATAGCTATTACCTGCCTCTCAGAAAGAGGTGGTTTTGTAATTACAATGAGTATTCTTCTGATTCTTAGTCTTTGGAACACTCAAATAGACTTTACTACTTTTACAAATTGTCAAAAATGAGAAAATTCAGCTACAGAACCACCAGTATTTGTCTTTTCCTGGTATTATTTTTACACTTTAAAAAGAAAAGCTCTTGAACACAAGAAAACAGGTACTAGGAGGTACTTGCTCACATGTGCCCATGAGATACGATGTCTCGCACAGCACAGGAGAAACAAGACACCTACAAAATGGTGTTAAGATTTAAAATCATGTGTCCTTTTGATGAACTTTATTACTTAAAACAATCAAGCTTTTCTTTGAACTGGCACAGATTGCTTGCATATTATTTATAAAATGCTTAAAAAGGACATGGTCTTATCTATTTCTTGTGCCTTGGTTTTCATTGTGGTATTTTTTTTTTAGCTTAATTACATGACAAAGTTGCTCTACTTTGTTAACATTTAAGTCATAAGCTAATATTTTGGGAGACCAATTTTTATGGTGGCATTTTTCTTTCCTTATTGAGGACAAACACGGCAACTTTAGAATGAGACAGCTATTGCTTGATTGGAAAAAATAAATGGGTGTTTTTCATCATTTCAGTGAGACATTTAAATTTTTTTAGATGAAATTGCACGAATCCACATACCACATATAGATGACATATCAAAGATAAGACTTAAAACGCATGGCACGATAAACATATCCTATTTAATGAGACCAACTAATTTTAACCACAAAGCTTAAATATTTAATGTACTGATAAGATGGCTGTTTTATTTTGCCAGTTGAGGTAGAATAAAAGTGATACTTCTAAATGATGCATCAACTCCTCCAGGTCATTGGAAAGAGAGTGCCAGTCTAAACATATCTATAAGTAGCTATCCTGCATGAAAGCACACTGCTTCTACACCCAATGCAGCACACACTAAATGCACTTTTGAACACAAGCAATTAATTTTTTCATTTGCAAGATCAACCTAAATTCCATTTTAAAAATAGTTATGAAACAGTAGCTAATGCCAAGTGTAACAGCTGTGTCACAGTCTTCTGCCCTTCTGCTTCATTTAGTTGTCCTATTCATTTTGCAGGTGACCACTAGGGTAAAAAGGAACATTATCTTATTTTACAGCTTCATTCACACACAGGATGGAGAAGGAGGTATCATCAGTTAGAGCCTCTTTCATATTTGCACATCTCTTCTAGGCAACAATGAGGAAAACCACAAGGAAAATCAACATGAAGGAAAAAAAAATTGAAAAAATCAAAACACCACAATTTTGGATTTAACAGAAGACATGACAAATGGTGTGAACTTTTCAAAACACTCCACAGATAAAGCAGCATCATTCAAAAGGATGCAACGAAATTGGAAAAAGCAGCAGCAACACATCACAGAATTGGCAGTCATCTGAACAAGCTGCAATGACACGAGCCCCATGGAGGATTTCTTTTCTTACTTGCACAAGTATCTTGAGGGGTTTGAAAGGTCTTTCACCATGAAGCACTCTCCTCCATTCACACAGAAAGTTTTCTCCTTCTCTGCACACTTCACAAGATGGCTTGTCCCAGTTGTAGATGTAGATGTAGCTGCATAGGAGAGAAAAAAGAGGAAAGGTTTATGTCTTCCTCGCTCTTTCAAGCAGTCTTTAATCATAAATTCTCTTAAAAGGAAAAGTTCATATAAGGTACAGTGAGTTTCATTTGACAGTAAGGCTGAGTAAATAAACAACAGTAAAGAAGTTAAGTAATTTCAGGGTATAATGAAATTATACAAGGGTCATTCCTAATAATTAATTTAATTATAATTAAATAGGAAGAGGGGCTTAACATTTTTAAGAACCAGTACTTTATCTTCTTAGGGAGTTGGAGAAGAGAGCATTTATTGCCGTAAGTAAAATCTATTTTCCAGAAAAGATTAATAATATAAAGCTATGCCAATGAAATTCAATTTGATCATCAATTTTTAATGGCCACTAATTATTTTGGAAGCCACATTTAATATGTATATGGACATTATATTTTTGCTATCATGTGTAGCCAAAGTCAAAATACAAGGTGGCTTATTTATTCCTAATGAAAGAATTATATGTTAATAATTAAATATACAGCAACATACAGATCAGAAGCCATTCTATTCAAAATAGCTTCTATTTCTACTCAGAGGAACATTATTCAATGTCTGGATGCCATCATATTTCTGAGGAAATAGAAAGCCAGTCTAATATTGCTGCAAGGGCAGAATAAAGTACTACAAAATTCCCCATTTTGAATTAGGAGTAGAAATAAATCTGAATTTTGATTTGCAACATCTTCATGGGATGAGCTTGATAATTGCTTGTTAAACCTCACAATCATGTCAGCATTAGGTATGTGGGTTGAATGTAGCTGCAGCTCCCAGTCCTAAGACTCTTAAGAGTTGATATCAGAACTTCTCCCCACTTAACTTCACTGGAAACACAAGAGGCAATGTCCAATCTCCAGCCAAACCAGTCTAATTCACAGCATGTTTATAACTGATATCAGAATGAAAAGCAACACCAATATAAAGCTAGTGAAGTTTCTTTTTACTTTCTCAGAAAAAAAAATCCATCTTTACACATTTTTTTCTTTGCTATTATTACTGTTTTCTTTCATAAGTCCACATTCTGTTTAGATTTTAATCCCAATTTCTGCTTGATTTTTACTCTTATCAGGTCAGAACACTCAACATCTGATTATTCAGCTCTGCATTACTCAAGGTCTCTCTTGTCTCTTTTTCTCCTGTCCCAGGCAAATTTTTGGATGATTTCACTGCTCTCAGAATGGCTTTTACGGGAACAGTAAAGGACAGTGAAAATGACTTGTACTTTGGAAACAGATCTGGTTCAAATCCACCTTCTGCTAGCATTGTGTCCTCAAGCAAGTCACTTAATCACCCAGATGTTCAATTTTTCCATTTAGACAGCAAGGGGTAATGGCACTTTTACAGGACTTTTGTACAGATTATAAACAAGCTAGGTAAAAGAACTGGCACAAAATTGGCACTCAATGAAAAATAGCAGGTATTATTCCTGGGCAAGTAGAAAAGGTATTTATCAATCAGGGGAAAAGCCTGACAATGGAAATGTAAGGATTTAAAAGACACATGCTATTCTTGAATCATTACAGTGGATATTTAAGAATTGTTTTTTTTTTTTTATTACTCCAACAAAAATTCCTTTTCAAAATGCATTTCAGAGTCTCCAGGTCTACAAATCACGCAAAAGGAACCAGGGAGAGTGATAACAGAAGTGACTGTACCCTACTTTATCAGTTATACTTTCACATCTCTGTCAGGAAGGCAAGGACATAATCTGGACCATTAGTCCTGTAAAATCACAGGGTATAAATAAATCCTGTCTATAATTTTAACATAATGTTTTCATGTGAAATACTGTTTTACTTGGGTGGTGTGTATTAATATTTTTACCCATGACTATAGTTTTTAAAAAAACTATCAAGAAAAACTGCCTTAAATGTTAAAGCTTTAGTGCTTAAGACTTTCAATCGCTGACAGGATTCTATAGGATGACAAATTAGGCAGGGGATCCTTGCTGTCCCACACGACAGTGCTGAATGGACCACCTGCCACGAGCTGTCACCACCATCCCTGCAGAGGACCTCTGCGCCCCAGCAAACCCCAGTGCTCTCTGAATCCCTGAAAACTTGCTAAGGATTACCCTTCACCCAAACAGAGCACCAAACACCGCGCCAGTTTCCTTAGAACAAATCTTGAGACCTTTACTAAGAACAACAAACCCATACACCTTCTCTACCCCCCTGCCATCACTAAAGTAAACATTTCATACAATCTGGAAAATCAAAATACAGATCATCAGTGATATAGGCAAGAGGAAGACACATCCTGTCTACTACTGAACAAAAAGACGTTCTGATCTTGAGATAGTAACAATAGTAAATGTATGATAAAACTAGAAACAACTTCCCTTTCTAAGTCCTTTTAAAATATTCCCCACTGAAATGAATATCCTCTTAATGCTATCCTGCAACACTGAGTTGATATATTCACTTGAAAAATTCTCAGATCATTACTTGAAACTAGTATGGGGACACTTGATAATAAAATAATACTGGGTGGAAATGAAGTAGCAATCACCTGATACAGTCTCAGACTATTGTGCTTAGCACCTTCGCCCTTAAGCAGCAGTGAGGATAAAAATGATTGTGGAATTTTAATGTAGCAATTAACTGCCAGGTGACTTGAAGTGTGAACTGAATGGGTACAGCTGTTCTGAGCCAACAGCCAAACACAGGAATAAGTTGTAATTATCAGAAGAATTTGGAATGGAGATGGTGATATATGCACCCTTTAAATTTTCCCAGGTTTCCTTTTATGCTCCCTAGCTGAATGGAGTGTAGTTCGTCTTAACCAGACTTACAAATTTTGCAGTGATAGCCTTTCTCTTTGACTTACACATGCTGTATTGCTCAGTCAGTTTCCCTTTGGTAATTTTACCAGAAAATAAACACACACACACACACACACACACACCAAAACAAAACAAAACAAAACAAAACAAAACAAAACAAAACAAAACAAAACAAAACAGACAAAGCAGATTCTTAAACCAAACTCTGGGGTAGCTGGGAAGAGTTTACCAGGTAAAACTAAAGGTTTTGTAGATAGAGTGTGTTTCAGTTTACAAAAGATGACCTTCCGAGTTCTTGGAAGTAGGTGAAACAGATTTCACCCACTTAGTACTTAATAAACCCTGCCTTTCTCTGCTCTGTGACTAGTATGTCATAATTTGGGAGTTTGTCATCTTCTAGAAAATGCTAAATGAGCAGCATTTAGAAACACTGGTAGATATGGCTCCATGACTCTTACATTTGCCTTTTCTAGAAACAGTGTCCCAACCATACTTGGCATGTCTGTAACTATAACATCATAAAGAGAGAAAGAAGGAACGAAATAAAAACAAAGGAGGGACTTGTTATCAGGGAATATACATTGGAGTGTTTCACTCTTGACCTAGTTGACTTGGCAACAAGGTCAGAACTAGTGATAATCCCCAGCGGGTTGGAGAGTTTTCTGAATTTACCCAAGGATTGGAGGAGGGGCCTCCCCCACACCCAATCGTGTGCTGCAAAAGAGGACTCCCTCCTTAGTCATCTTCCTACCTGTCCTTTCTCTCTCCCTTCCTTCCTTTCTTTTATAAGTTCAAATAGGGTATTTGGTAATAAAAGAGTTATTGGGGAAAATGAAGAGGTGACCATCTAATACTGTAAGATACAGGCATTTTATTAAGATGTAATATATAATTATAACAACTAAAGTTAGGTGGATTAAAAATGGAAAGAGTGGACAATTCTTCCCATAAAGGAGACCTTCATAGACACAACAGAATAAAACGAACACTGGAATTAATCAAGAAGAATCAGGGTCAAGATTGAATGATTAGCTATGTGACCTTTCCTAAATACATTAAAATACAAAGATAAGCAAATATGAACACAGAGTTGTTGCAAATCCGATAAAATGCTTTGTCAGTTGCAACTCGGCACGCAAATGTATGATACTACTACTATTATTTGTGACAAAAAGAACAAAAAAAGGGAAAATACTTCTGTCTGGATTGTGGAAATGTGTATTAAGCTTCTGATTTTGTTTCTTAGTAAAACATTCTTCTATAATATGTGAATAGAGATGGTCTAACTTGAACCACTGATAGTCAATGAGTGGTCTAATTTGAGCAATTCAACCACTGAATGATTAAGAAGTTAATTTAACTATTTACTTGATCTTAACCATAGGTGCTTGCTAATAATTTGTAGCCATAAATTTGCTGATGAAATAAATATGAAGAACAATTAAACTTTAATAGTGTGAGTACTTATTATTTTCAGTTTTCAAAATTCCCTAATTCTCTAGTATTTCTAACTTCCAATTTATATAAATTAAATGTTCTTGCAACATTTTGAAATTACATACAACTGTGCAGAATAAAATTTTGAGGAATAATTAAGTGTTCTCTACTTGTCACTATGCATTTCTTTCTATGGAATAACACAACATTTTCTGTAGAATGCCAGGCCTTTTCTGCTCAAGACAGGCTGAAAAGAAAACAAGGCTGGAAAGGATGGCTTACTTTCTTGCTTGTTTGAAGTGGTGTTTTTCTTATCAGTAGAGTAGACAGCACCAGCAGACCAGGGCCATTACACAAATTCAAATTGCTGATAAGAAGCCACTCTATTCTTCTTTGACAATTAGCAGGAATTAGTGTGAATTGTTTACTCCCAAAAGAATATAATGATCCTGATTTCTTGAGTGAATGAGTCCTGACTAGCAATTTTTAGGACTTAATGATCTCAATGAAACATACAAATTTTCATATTCCAGTATGAAAAATCCCAATATTAATTGCTACATAATTACAGATTCTTAAACCTTACCTGTGATATCTTCAAGGCCTATGTACTTAGAATTCTGCATGTTTTCTTGCTTTTTGATTTTGCAGCTAAAAATCAAATTGAATGACTATTCTTGCTTATAACACAGCTTCTCTGCAGTTACTTGCTAGAAGCCCTTTGAACTCCTACTGGGAAAA